GGAAAGTGTACGAATACTGACGTACATGACAAGCCAGTAGGATTTGGTCATTTGACTAAACGGTATTGTTACAAGAAACAATTAATGGACAACGACTTTTGCAAAGAAGTAAGTCACAAATTATTGAATTATTCCTCAGAAATCCTCGGTGAAGAAGTTAATGGTCATTAACAAATATGAGGATAAGAAGAATAAGAACAACGGAAGCAAAGTTGAAAAGTATTATAAAGCATTTCAAGACATCGAAGAAATGATGACAAGTTTCATTTTGTTCTAACCAAGAAAGAACAGAAATTTTCCAATTAAGATTGGGAGATCATGAAGATAGTATCCTGGAAGTGGCAAATAGTATGTCACAATGGTAAAGAAAGAATAAAAGAATTCCCGATGAAAGATTTCCCAACGGTAAAGGGTTGTCTCTAAAGTGGAAGAAATCATTCTTAATGAAGTGGAAGAAGTATTCACACAAAGTAATCCGAATGTGCAAATTATGAATACAATATTATCATCAAATCCTAATTCATTGCATCAATTATCTTAATTAACAACAAATCGCATGAAGCATTGTTCGATAGTGGTTTTACTTATAGTCCCATCAATGAAAATACAAGTAAGCAATTAAATCCGCAATGGGTTGAACAAGGTTAAAATAATTGAATATCAAACAAAATCTATCACTTTTGCCTTGAGAACCACGAAATCAAAATCTGAATTTTTAATCGGTGTAATAATCTGAAATCATCTGTTTATCATATTGCTAATAAACCATGAAGAAAACACTGAAGTAGACTCGATGAAGAAATTTCGTATCTATTGTGTTGTAAATGAAATAGTTTAAGTAAAAGAAAAACTATGAAAATTACATGGTGGAAATGCAAAGGACAAATGAAGATGATAACGAATTTGAAACCGAAGAATTAAAAAACATATGCAAGATTTGTTAAAGAATATTGTAATCCAACTTTAATTAAAGAAAATAATAATTGAAGAAATAGAACCAGACATTTCAAGAACAAATAAAAGTAGAGTTCAAAGTGCAACATTTATCAACAAATTTAATCAACAAAGAAATGTTAATAATGTGCAGAGGAATAACAATAGTAATCTTCCATTTATCAACAGATATTATCAACAAAGAAATGTTAATACTGCACCAAGGAATAACAACAATTATCAAAACAAAAAAATGCACCTTCTACTAGCAGAATTATACAACATCAAGAATTGTTAATACAACATCAAGAAATAACAACAATTCTCAAAATGATAATGAAATCAAGAATTGCAGAATTTGTGAACAATTACATTCATCACGTAATTGTCCATTAACAATTGAACAAAGAAAACAAGAAATTTTAAGAAAGAGGTTATGCTATAATTGTCTTAGCAATAATCATCTAACTAAAGACTGTCCAATGAAAAAGGAAGTTATCAATGTGGAAGAAGTCACTCCTATTTAATTTGTTATGGAGAAAGCATACCCACAAGAAGTTTTCAAAACAATCAGCCTCAAATACAGTATCAATAACCAAGAACAGTACAAAGAATTGAAGCTGCCTCATCGAATCAAATAAGTAATGTAAATAATACAAATACTGAAGTAAAGGAATTAGTATTATTTAATCAATCACAACAGTTATCCTGACTAAAGACACCAGGATTAACAAAAATCAAAACATTACTTTATAGAAAATCTTATGAAACTGAATCAATACGACTACAGTATTGAAAATTTAAAGGTGAAATTATTGTTAATCAAGTAACAACAAAAACTACAGAAATTGGAATTGTAAAAAAATTGAAATCCAAATTGAAATAATGATCAGAAAATTATTTATTTTATGTGCTATCAATTAACCATGATGTAATCATAGAAGTTAATGCTATGAAGAAATTTCAAAATTTATCGTGATATAAATGAAATTGTATATCAAAAGATAGATAGCAGAAATTACATGGTTGAGACGCATAAAAGAAATGAAGTTGAAATTAAACTAGAAAATGTTGAATTATTGAAAAAAAAAAAGAAGAATGCTACGGCAATTTTTTCAGCGTATTATGTACAATATATTGAAGAAGCATAAGTTAACATCTTTTGCTCATAATTATATTGATGACATAATCGTGTTTTCCAAAGATAAACAACATTTGAAACATTTCGAAAAATGTATCTTGGACAAGAAATCACAAAGAATTTTGTTTCACCTCTGAAGCCAACCAACGGATAAGATAAACAACATTGAAGCAGATTTTCTTAGCACAGAAATCCAGAATTTTAGCTAAGGAAAATACAAGCTAAAAGAACAACAAACTGAAGAAAAAGAACTTAAAGAATAACATCTTATTACAAAAATTTTGAAGAACAAAAGAAAGCAGAAGAATCAGAGGTAGAAGAAGAAAAAGTTAATGATGAAGAAACTGAAAAAGAAGAAATTGAAATGAATTTAACGAAAATTTTAAAATGGGATTACGATCCAGAGACATATTATTTCTCAAGAAATCCTGATCCCGAAATTAATATATTGTCATTACAAAAATTATGAAGAATAATACGAACCATTGATGAACAATTTACCAAAAGGTTGTATTAAACAAAACAACTTTATCATAAAAAAAAAAAAACAACAATGAAAAGTCCAGATACTTTTTGCCAAAAGAAAATGCAATAGAAGAGATGCAAAGAATACATGTTGAAAAAGGACATCTCGGAATAATTAAGACGTTACTTCATTTTTGCAACAAAGTACTATGCAGTAAATCAAAACCAATTAGCAACAGATGTTGTAAATGGATGTGAAGTATGCAAAAAGGGCAAAAAGCAGATTAAGAAACTGGAAAAATTGATCAAATTGGTCCGGCAACAAAAATCATTTGAAATAATTCATATTGACACCAAAGGAGGTTTCTCAGATCCAAAGAACAAATTAAGATATTGTCATTTAGCTATTGAAATGTTCTCACGATACGTGTGGGCAAAAACATCTGATGGTCAGATGGCAAAAGACTTTATTGAACTGATAGATCTGATTAAACTAGATGGTAAACCAAAAACAATTGTTATTGATCGATATGGTGCATTGAAATCAGAAGCACTGAAACAAAAACTAATAACAGAAAATATTAAACAAATATTCACACCAACAGCCCATCCACAAAGTAATGGTATGGTGGAAAGAATTGGGCAAATTTTAGTGAAAAAATTGCGGTGTAAGAAAATTATTGAACCAACAAGATTTTGGTCCGTTTTAGCAAAACAAGCCATGGAAGAATACAATTTCACTATCCATTGTTCTACAGGCTATACACCAGCATATCTACTAAAAGTTATGATCCTGAAAAATTATATGAAGGAAAGGATCTAGCAGAAATCAGAAAATTGTCATTTTTACCAACAGCCAAATTAATCGACAATTAACACAAAAGATATTTAAAATGAACATTGTGAACAAAGTGAATACACAAGTGAACACAAAAGTGAATATTGTGTACAATAATTAACAACAATTGAAATAATAATAATAGTAACGCAGAAACAGTGGAAAATCCCATTGTATGGCAAGAAATCATCTTAATGATATAGCCAAGTAAATTATCCAAGGAGAGTTTCAGATATATACGATGAACCATTGCGATATTAATGAAGAATTGAGAATATCAAATAATAATTCGAACTTTTGGAAAAATTCAATCGTAAATAAAGGAATATTACAAAGAACGATTGGATTGGTTAACATTATTAGTTTTCCTAAATGAAGGATATGAACCGTTATTTTGGTCAGTTGAAAAATTTTATAGAACAAATTTTTGAACTGGAAAATCCTCAATTCGCAACTGCGTTGAAATTATTGTTCCCGGTAATAATAAAGGGAGAAGAAACTTTATTGGTAAAAAAGAGGGATGTTAAATTTTAATTTTTTGATACTGGGAAGAAAAATCAAAATTTTGCTGCAGAATATTAATGGAATAAAGACTACAAGGTCAAGAATTCCAGAATATCACTATGAGGTGATAAAATTCCATAAGGTTAGAATGGAATTATTCACAAATATTGAAACTGACTGAAGCAGTGAATAGCAGAATCTTTCGTCAAAATAACGTGAGAATAGCTATTAATCATCTAGAAAAGATGATAGAACAGAAGGATTAACTAGTGGAAAAAAATTACTAGTTCGTATTTATTGAAACCTT